TTTTGTTTGTTGCTCTCCTCTTCAGAGAGAGTTGGAGCCTGTGTCCCTGTGGAGTGCGATTTGGTGAACATTTCTGTATGAAAAAGAGTCTCGTCCACATCCAGCATTCCTTCCAGCGCTGGAAGTTAGCACCTTAGATACAGACAAAATTCCAATCAGTTCTATGCACAGCAAATCTTATATATTACGTAGGGTTACTGCGGGGTCATGGTGGGAGAAACTGATTCAGCATATGGAAAGTTGGGATGTGCAAAATTAAGGGCTGGGCTCTGTTTAACATTTAGATTGAATCATGAGCTGGACACTACTGACTCCTTATACTGCGTATTACTGTTTGCCAAGTTGACTGCAATAATGTCAAATAGTGAAATAGTTCCAAATAAGATATTTTTTTTTCCTGGATATTGTTGATCCTTGCATTTGCAAACTGCAAAATGCTTTTACTTTTCTAGGTTTTATTTTGGTGCACTGAGCTGCTAACACATTCAGCAAATTCATGCCTATGGGACAAAGAGCTTTTTTTTGTATTCTCCAAGGCAATAATTGCAGAGAGCTACTCTTCAGCTATCAAGAACTCAATCTGAAATTGAGACAAAGCTCATGGCATCTTTTCTCTCAGGCAACTGTGCCCCATAGGGACTTGCTTAGCCTTCCCAGGATGTCTCCTGTAGTTCTCGGTCTGAGCAACGTACAGAACTGAGCAGCTGGTCAGATCTTCCCTGGGTTGTGCTACGTGCATAGGAGAGGCAAGACGTTGGCTATGTGACTGAGCCTTTCTCTGATGCTACACGATATTTTTGGAAAACTTGTTCCTCTAAGTTGTTTTTAGGGATCACTAAAGTGGAGCTATAAATAGCAAGACAACTGGTGAGCTGTGACCTTCTGCTTAGTGTTGAACAGCTCGCTCATGTTGCTCTTTCTTCCTCCTCCAACCAGCTACTTTTCTTGTGCATCTGCCTTGCTCTAATACGTACTGTTAATTCCTGGAGGAGGAAGACCAGTGTTTTCCTCCATGCCTACAGATGTGCCAGTCAGTGATGCTGTAACCTTCATCTGAATTTCTAGCTGCAACAGAACAAGATTACAAAATTAACATGATGCACTAATTCAAGATGGAAACATTAGGGCTAATTTATTAGATGCAACTAATTCAGTACCTGCTTCCAAACGTATGGATTTTTTTGAAAAAAGTTGTAAGCAGAATCTTGTTTTAACTATGTTAAATCTATTCTAGGGTCCATGAACCTTTTATTTCTAAAGATAGTGCTGGAAATGCCAAAAGTCAGCTTTATCAATCCATGTAGAGTTGCTACTGCCCCAATTTTATTTTTTCTTGGTTAAACTAGGATTCAAAGATTTTTATTGCCTTAGAAGGTACACGGGGAAAGACAGGTCATCAAGGGCATTTCAGAGATTTTGCAGCAATTCCATCAGTGCTTGCTGAATCTGGTGGCACTGGGGATGGAGCTGACCTTGTAATTTTGTCCAGCATCTCTCGTACCACCTGGGCAGATTTCTGATCAAAGAGGGATGAGGTGGGAGCAGAACTGCAGCTGCTAAAGGGGCAGTGGCCTTGCTAGAAGTGGCAGGAAGGTCCAGGAAAAGCTAAGAGCAGACCTGTGCTATTGTGAACATGGTGTAAAATTATTTTCAATTGCTTATTTTTATTTTGAGTTGTCAAAGGTTAATTATGTGTCAGAACACTGTCTGAACCTGATTTACTGCTGCTTGTAATTGTGTTGCAAATATATTTTAAAAAAAAGACAGTAAAATAATTACGGATGTAGTTCAAGCTTACTTTTACCATAGTTTCTCACATAAATCTCTTCAGTAATTTTCCCGTTGTGACAGGGTTTATGGTGAAAAATAGAAGGTCTCTTCCTAGAAAATTATGCATCCTGCAGAGTAATTAATCTGGTTAAGAAATTAAGACCAGTTCATTCTGCTCTCCATTCTCCCAGCAATTTCTGTCTTTTACAAAAATCTCTGCAGTGAGAGCAATAAATTTGAAGTGAATGACAGACACTAATTATTTGTGACCTCGTTGTTATCTGCAGTGTTGAACTGGGTATGACTGATCCCAGCATATGAGCTGTAGACCTTTTTAGTCTAAAAATTTAAAGAAAAAGCAGCTTCAAAAATAGCAGCCTACTAGGCATTGCTGCTGTTGTTTCCCCTCTCCCACCCATCACCATTTCAGAGCTATGAACATGATGATTTCAACCTTTCACGAGCCACAGGGTTGCACTATCAGCAATACTGCTGCACCCTGCCCACAATGGGCTCTCAAACCCTGGAAAAATAGGTGAAATGGGTGCTAGTTAGGGCTGTAGGTAAATAACTCAAAGCTAAGAGGAGTCTGCAACAAGCTTTAAAAGAAAAACGTGGCTGGGCAGAGGTTCATGTGGCCAGCCTAAGGTGGCATGAAGACTCCTATCCTTTTCTGTTTCCACAGAAGAGGAGTATGGCTGAGCAAAGCATGCAAAAACTTTAAAACATACCTGAAGACAGTTTGATAAATTTAGGAATAGTATGAGACATAAATGAAAACTAGATAGGTATTTGAAGTAGTTATAATGATCTTTAGAAACCTTTGTTTTTCTGCGGTTGTTGCATGTCACATTAGGTCCAAATTCTCTAGGACTTAGTGGCTTGTAAATTCTTGTGATTTTTTATTTTATTTTTTTTTTAAGAAAAAAGGTGATGAGCAGGAATAGGTGCTTTGCCATCCTGCTGGGGCTCAGCTCAGTCCAGCTGAATTGATTTTTAGCATTTTCCTTGTGCAGTTTGAGACAGGATATGAGCACTTCCGTGGTTGTAGTCTGGGTTAGATTTATATCTTACTGAAGGAAAACATGTTTGGCAGAGGAAGACAACACACTTGGCCTGGGAGGAGGAGTAGTCATTGAACAGTGGGAGGAGCTCTGTTCTGTGTTACCAGGCGTTGGGGAATAAGTCATCAAAGGTGGTCCACTGTCCTATTTTGGCAGTGTGACTAAGTGAGGAAGAGAGCTGCTGACCAAAACCATGTTCCTTTACCTTCAGCACATCTTTCGTTTTTCCTAGCATTTTGTTTCACTTACAGCTTTGAAGAAGTTCCTTACTGATCAAGCGCTGGTATCAACCCCAGTAACTTGATGCTTTGCTCTTTTCTCTCTGTGTCTGAGTAATACAAAACTCTAGAAAAAGATGCTGTTTTGAAGCTTCATCTTTCTACCTTCCCCTCATGGGTGCATGGCCTGTGGGGTTTCTGCTCTCTGTTAGATCTCCCTTGCTAGTGAGACCTGAAGTTCAGCTCCCACACACGCCTATAATGAGACATGGGGCTGCATCAGCCTCTTGTTTTCCCTTCTTTCCAAAAGCTCACTAGGCTTGAATGCTTAGAGATGTCTGAATTTTTCAAAGCTTGGCCATGCCAAGAGTGTTTTTCTGTAGGGGATCCTTTTTGATTCTGCTGCTCTCCCCTGTCCTGCTAAGAATCACAATTCACTCTGAGACAGTTGAGCATTTCAGTGCATGACGATGAGGAACACGAAGAAGACATCAAAGACACAGACACGAGCAAGGTCTGTCCTGACTCGTGATCACTGATTGCAGTATGAGGTATGTTATTTTAGTAGGCAGTGTCTGAAATTCAGTTCAAAGCTTCCTGATCCTGTAGGTACTCAGTCCTTTTATGTTCAGACAGACTGTAGTGTTGCACTTAACCTTAGCACAGGATTTTCTCATCAGCCCTACAGCAGACCTTCAGACCAACAACTCATGACCCACTGACTCTCTCTTCTGTCCTGTAATTAAGCAGAGATGATGATGGAACTATAACAACTGAGGACAGTGTTAGCAGTGAGGTGCGAGAGACATTCTTTCATGAGAGACTAAACTGTCCCAAACTTTATTGTGACTTGGAGAAGCCAGTCCCAGTTTTGTACTGCCTTGCGTGTTCATTACTAGCAAATGTTGACAGTTTCTTTCTGTCTTTCTCTTTAATTGTTTAGTTGAAGTAGTGACATTTTCTTCTTGAAAAATTCTTAATTTGAAAAATGTTGAGTAGGTCACACTCTAATTGTTTTGCTCTACGTCGTAAATGATTTGGAGAATATTTGCACATTTCTGTGTGGTATCACCAGGACTATTCTAAATAACTTTGTCACTTAAAATGACTTGTTGATAGTGGGCCTTTCAGAAAGGAAAGCTTTGACATTAAACAAAGGATATTTGAGGAGCTTATTTATGAGAATTCAGCACCAAGTTAAATGCTGGTTGCCATGGAAGATGGTCTTGGCAATGTGATCATATGGGCATTTTTAATATCAGTTTAGTTTTGTTTTACGTATATTTTTGAGTTGACCAGTGATATACCAGTGAATGAAACCTATAAATGCTTAGCTGACTGGCTAGTATGTCAGCACTAACCAAGTAGGACTAATTGTTTTAGCTCAAGTGTGTTCAAACTTCCTGATCATGTATGTATAGAGCTGAGTATCTTATATAATATACATATTCTGTTCATTAGAATTCTGAAGAGAAATGACAATAATACAGAGTTAAACTGTCGGATCTACATATGGTAGAAATTCATCATATCTTCCTTAGAATGCATGGAGCTATAATGGGTTATAATGGGGAAGGGCTTGGCCTCCAGTTCCTGTGAAGAAAACTTATCTTGATTATCTTAGGGATAATTAGGCATTTGGGAATGTTTAGAAGCAAGATTCCTGTTTCTGGAGATTTATACAGGAAACGGGAGACATTGTGAAAGCTGCTAGTTGATTATTTATAGTTCTCCCATTAATAATTATGCACTGATACTGCAAGATGTATTAATGTGGACTCCAATCTGAAAAGCTGAGGGTAATTTCCACGGAGCCATGAGGGTGTCAGAGCTGAGTTTCACTGGGAGTTCAGATCTTGTTTATCTAAAAACATTCTTTGGTCACAGAAAAGATCCATTTCCTTCATATTAATAATCTGATTTTTGGTTTTTTTTCTTCTTCATTTAGGTTTGGCAAAGCCCATGGGATTAGTTGAAGGTCCAGGAGGCTTGGGCCAGGGGGGAATGGCTGCTACCCTGAGAGATGATAGCCATGAATCAGAGACTAAGTATGAAGAATATGGTTACAATGCCCAACTTAGTGACAGGATATCACTGGACAGGTCCATCCCTGACTACAGACCAAAAAAGTAAGTTGAAATCCACATTATTATTAAGAGATTATTCTGTCGACCCGTGGTGGTATTCTTCACATTCCTTCATGGTTGGAGTCTGACAGCAGTCAATCATATGTATATCCCTGAGTTTAGTGAAAATTAAAAAGACCAACGGCTATCTCAAATGTGAAGCGCCATGTTAAAAAACATCACTAATTCTGTGAGTAATGCATTTATATGTACATTGAAGGCCTCAGATCAAAATCTACATCAGGATATTGGTGCTTATTGGGTTTGGTTCTCTTAGAAAAAGCCCAGGTAGTGTCAGCAGAGCCCACCATCAGAGGTGGGCTTCTTGTAGTCAGGTGTAATGGAAGGGGGGGCAGTGACAACAGACACTTTGTAGACACTAGTCACTTAAAAACCCCCACATCATCAAATCAGCTGCCTTTTCTTTAATTGCATTTGATGTTCTTAGAACTGGTTAGCTGGGGTTTACAATGTGCTGAAACATGGACTGAGTGTAATCTGTTGAAATCGTATAATTGCAATAAGATGTTTTGGAATGCGTATTTATTTTTATGCTGGTATTATAGCCTTCACATTCCAACGCTATGTTTGATGCTGTAATTATATGTTTAATATTTGTACTGATTTATTGTATTTCATATTAAATGTCTTTAAAATTTTTCATATTTATGGAGTTACGTATGTTCCAGATGAGACTTCCTCACTATCATCCTATGAATGACAATCAGTAATGTCTTAATGCAGAGGAGATCATCAGCAATGCCTAGTTACTCTCAGGAGACAGAATTGAAAAGAATACTTAATTAATTTCTAATAATAATCTTCTGTTTGAAAAGATCCACTGGGGCTCCTAGGCAGAACTGAAAGTTAAATAAAAAAAAGTATCTTATTAAGTGGTGAGAAAAGTTTAGCCAAGCAAAACAGCTGTGCTCTCTGAGTAGATTGCAATTGAATTAGGATTTTAGGCAGTTCAACCTGCCAAACCCCAAATCCAGTAAAACAAAACTTCAGCTTAACTACAAATTTCATTAGCTGTGTTACATATTAATCTAATCTCAGGAGCGTTGACCCAGCATTCCTTTTCTCAGGCATTTGTTATACAAAAGAAAACCTAAATAAAAGAAATGGCAAAAAGAAAAATATCCACTGAATATATATCACATATGATGTCAGTATAGTGACTTGTCCGATGGTCTCATCTCTCCATTTCTCTTATCAGAAAAATCCACCATGGAATTATTCTGGGGAAAAAGTAGTAGGTAGCCATGCAAGTATTTGAGTTGTGCATCAGATCCAGTCCAAAGACCCTTAAGATCAGTGTGGAGTTTTTCAAATGAAAGTCAGTGAGGTTTGACCTGGTGTGTTATTAGCTGCTGCGGTCAGCTGGATGATAAATGAGAATGCTCTACTAGGAAATACAAAAGCAAAGGTTGCGGTGCTTGAATCTAGCTCAGCAGCTGTCAGAAGCAGGAGAGCATTTGGAATGCAGTGATGTTTCGCTTCAGGTAAGTCTTCTACCGTTTTAGTTGGAAGCTTTGAGCCATTCACCATCCCTGGAGGTATTTAAGAAACATGCTGATCTGGTGCTTAGGGACGTGGTTTAGTGGTGACCTGGCAGTGCTAGGTTAATGGTTGGACTTGATGGTTTTAAAGGTCTCTTCCAACGAAAGCAATTCTGTGATTCTGTTCAGGTAGGTTTTTTAACATGCTCATTTTGGGAATCTCATAAGGCCACACCGCATGATTAACTGTTTGAGTTGCTGGGAGAACTGGCTTGTGGTGTTTTGACACTTTTGAGGTGGCCCTTGTTTAGGTTTCAATGTTGGAATTTGAACTTTTGTCTCTAGATACCTACAAGTTGCAGGAAAGCCCCTCAGATTGAACTGACTATGAAAAATGAGTGGAACTTTGTGAAAAATAGAAGCTCTTTTATGAAGAGTTTTGTCCACTTGTATCAAAGAAGCTTTGGCTGCCATTTGGTTGCCACTTTCTATTTCAAATTTCGACTGTCCTCGTGAGCAGCGTTTTCTGTCCCTGACCCCTTCAAAAGCTCAGCTATTCATACACTGTCTCTCTTGGGATCTCTCACTCTAGGGCTGAGGCAGTTTTCATTCCCTATCCTACTTCCTCCTCTTCCTGTCCATCATGTAGTATCACATCTGCTCATCTAACAGGTGATAGTTGTGCATCGTAGCCACAAGGCAAAGCTGAGCTTGTCTTTCTGTTTGATTTAGATAGTCTCCTCTAATTATATATTGGAGAGAACTAAATCTCCTGATCTTTGAGACAGGCTTTGGGAAAACCACTCTTGTTTTTGCCCAAGTTGTGTGCTGACTTGTCCAATGGTCTCCTCTCTCCGTCTCTTGATAATAGCTCTCATCAGGGAGCCCTTTTCAATCTGTGAGCGATTTATATTCATGTCATTCCCAGAACTTTTCATTTTTAAACTGAGAAGCAAGGTTGAATTAATGTCCAAGACCATGTACAAAGTCTGTGGCCAGTCTATGAATAAAACCACTTATCTGGATTCGTGTTCCAAAAGTATTAAATTATGCTTTTTCCCCATTGTGTCTTCCATTTAAAATGTCCAGATCTACATATTTGCATACATCAGTAGATATAAAAGATGTAAACCTGTGCACTGCATAGACACAATTTATGAAAGTAAACATGATTTCACTATGCAAATGTGGGACTTGTAATATTCCAGACTTAGTCTTCTTTTAAAAGAAATTTGATCACAATTATTATCTTTTGGTTAATTTTATCTTTGAACTCCTCACTTATTGTTGCCAAATATCTTATTCTGGTAGAACAATCCTAGTAGTTACATCTACTGACATAGCTTCAGCAAATATTCAGCAATTTAATTGCTTTTCAGGAGGTACTTTCATCCCTGCACAGCAAATTTTAAAAAGTATGTTACTCTAAAAAGGTGTGCAGGCAGACAGGGTGACCGTGAAAGCTCCTGAATTGGAGTCACCTCCACGTACTCCCACTGCAGTGAAGTCCACAAGCCTGGGTGGGTTCTCCTGCTCTCAAGATGCTTTTCCCGTACACTCGTGTTGTGTTCGCTTTCCTACCTGCTGCTGCCAGTGCGGATGTTCCTTTTAACTCAGAAGCCTTTTCCTTAAGATGGGAATCTCCAAGTCAGCACAGGAGACAACGGCAGATTTTGACGTGTGTTGTATTTGTGTGCCAAATTGAAGCAATGGCAGTAAATAGCTTGCTTGCGATTACAATTCGCGCAATAATTAGAAAATTACAGTTTGATCCTAACACAGTGCAATGAGAATGTCTCAGATTTTTCTTCTCTGATATTGCACCTCCCACAGCTTGAATGCTTGCCCTGTCTCTGTGTTGAAAGCAGACAACCCTGGGGAAACGGTTCAAAAATATACTGTGAATTGGTGTTTCAAGCTATGCTTAGTTTCAGGAGACACGTGATGCAGAGAAGATGCAATTTTGTTCTACAAAACAATGCAAAGCCTCACCAGTAGTTTGTGAGTTTGTTCACTGTGACCTTGAATACTATTTTAATGTCTTGTTAGATATTACCTAAATCAAATGGGCTCATTTTAAAGTTGTGTTGACGATTTTTCCATAATACATTGTATGTCTTAGTAGTGACTTTTGCCTTGAGATATCTGAGAAGATGCGAGGACCAAGTAGTGGGAATTAAATGTGTTCAAGTTCAGCATCAAACAGAATACTCAGGATTTATTATGGTTGATTGATGAATATTTAGAAGTCTTCAGCTAATAATCCTAGTGTTGGACTGTCCTGAGGCTTTGTTTCATGTACTCAGTGGAAAGTGGTTGATATCTTGTCTGTTAAAATACATGAAAATAACTCTAAAATAGTGGTCTGGTTAGCACTGACTGTTATTGAATATGAATTCTGGAGTAAAATTTTTAGTACATATGAAAACTACATTAATGCAAAAGAATTTAGCAGGATTATTTTTGTTACAAGGGAATTCACATGGAATTATTGTTATGGAATTATTTTCATCTCCTGTCATACAGGAACATGTCAAACTTGAGAAACATTTCTTGAGTTAAGGGCAAGCCACAAGGAGAAGGAGCAAGGAAGGTAGCACAGGTCTCTGCATGTCTCTGCTGCAGCCCCATCTTTGCCCCCTGATGTCCTGAAGTTTTCCAAGGGCTGTACCAGCATGGAAAGCATGTTGCAGAGAACTCAGGATGTTTAATGTCCTGATGTCTCTTTGCAGCAGTAAAGTACTAGCAGGACTTTCTAGCCCTCACTAACATACCCTATTTCCTCTGGCCAGTGGAACTGGTTATTTTTCTTTTGGAAGCACACAGCTAAGCTAGAGCTTGCATTGCATTTCTCTGGGAAAAGTGTTATTTAATCATGAAATGTTATTAATTTCCATTTATGTTCTTCCATATTCAAAATGAGTGTTGTGATCACATAAACCTGAGTAGTTGGTGGAGATAAATCTGGTGTTGGTAAATGACCCGTACATATACGCACAGGAAAGCATAAGCACAAATATCTGTATCAGTTGTCTCCAGCAATACATATAGATGTAGAATAGTCTTGAATCCTACCCATGGGAACGCTGTGAAATCTGCTGGGCTGTGTGCATGCCTTTCTTACCATAATGTCAAAGGGCCAATCTCTGACTGAATAGTCAAAAATAGATCTGGAGAAAAACAGCTGAGATTTTTGATAGAGATCCTGCACTTTTGAAGAGAAGTGCCCAGAGCCAGTCACCTAAACCCCTGTGTAGTCATTTGTCTTCAAGTGGCTTAATTTGCTAGGTGGACTGAGAGTAGAGAAAGAGAACAGGCTTAGCTGGGACGTGCTCTGTTGCTACAAAAGGCTTCGGAAGCGGCAGCAGCAGCCATCCATCTGCCCTTCTGGGGGAATAACAGCCTTCACTGCTGCCAGCTGTAGCACAAGACAGAATCCTGTGCTCCTGTAACAAAGGATCAGACTCAATACTTTCCATTCAGGCATGGACAGAACTGCTA